TGTCGTGAAACGCCACCACGGGAAATTACGCGACCAATTCGTCTCTACGCCAACCCTTATTACTGAGATTCGAGATCGAGTAGTAGGATCTGTGCATTATACGTTTTTCTGCAAATGGTGGAAGCTAACTCCAAACGCTTATTAATAAAAACAAAGCGAAGATTACTTATTCCCCATCAACGGAAACTAACCGAGGATCAACGATTAAGGATTCGGTAAGAAACGACAACAAGGGTTAATTGGAGATAAACAATTTCAGGCATCTTCCGGATGTAAAACAGTCAGTTTTTTAAAGAGAATAATTACAATAGAATGAATAATAAATTTATTAGTTGATTTTGATTATTTTCATTTTTTTTATTAACTTAAAAAGTTAGAATAGATCATATCGTCTACATATTATATATAAATAACAGTAAAACTAAAAAATATTGGTATGCAAGGGAAGAAAAAGGAGGGTAAGAGCGAATATAATCATAGAAGATTAGAAGTGGCTGATTTTAGATATCTGGGAAGTCCAGATAAGTCAGGACGGAAGGAGTAGTGGGGATATAAAGCAGAGGATAGCGCAGGGTCGTGTCGCCTTTAATAAAAAGAAGTCACTTCTATGCTCGCGAACGGTTAAGTTGGAAATTCGAAAAAGGTTGTTAAAGGTGTATGTTTGGAGCGCGGCGTTGTACGGGTGCGAAACATGGACAGTGGGCGCGGCGGAAAAGAGAAGGTTGGAAGCGTCCGCAATGGAGTGTTATAGGCGAATCATGACGATAACGTGGATAGAAAAGGTTAGAAATGAAGAAGTATTAGAAAGAATAGGAGAACAGAGGATTCTATGGAAGTCGCTAAGAAATAGGCGAGATAGGTTGGTAGGACACCTTCTCAGACATGAAGGTCTAGTCAGAGACATATGAGAGGCAGAAACAGGAGTTAGAAGGGGTAGTCCTAGATTAGATTACTGTTCGCAAATAGTTAAGGATGTGGGTTATTCTAGTTTTAGGAAAATGCGAAGTTTAGCTCAGGACAGGAAAGAGTGGAGGGACGTGTCCAACCAGTTTTAGGACTGACGACCTTATAATGATGATACATATGTATATTCTTTATTGATTGAAAGATTTGTAGAATCATTATAAATACTTCGTTGAATTTAAGAATATTTAATGTTTCATAAAAACTGCACCATAGGCAAATAGTTTAACTTGTTCCCCAGCTTGCAACGTTAAATGTATATTTGTTGATTTATGTAATTATCTAAACAAGATTATAAATTATAATTTTTATAATCGCAATATCGAATACATCATTTATGTTTTAAACCAAACATCAATGGAGCCACGCTCCTTTGCGAACAATCGAACGGTTAACCATTTATGTTAAAAGATTAGCATTCTTGTTCGATGTCGAATCAGATTTCGGAGCAAATTACTTTTTCGTGTTTCTTCACTCAAATTCCACTTAGGCTAAGAGGAAACTGTAGTTGAAGTTCAAAGAACAAATAAAGGTACGGAAAGCTCTAATTTCGATAAATGAAACCGTTTCTAAAGAGAAGATTCTTTAAAGCTACTGCCTTTTGAGTTAGCAACAATTGCTACATTCACATTCCAAAACATAAGGAATTTAATTTAAAAAAAAAAATACAGTGTGTCTACCTAATTTGGCAGTATATATGGGAAACTTTTTGATTATTAATCTTATAAAAAAAATTACTCTTTATAAAAAGTTCTGCATGGTCTAAAAGACATAATGACATCATCAGAGTTTCATATTTTGTGCCAAAACTTGTATATAACTGACAAATTATTAAGTCTAATGGTGCCTTTATGTCTTTTAGACCTTGCAGGACAGTAACTTTTTTTGTAAGATTAATTATAAAAAAGTTCCCCTCATGCTGCCAAATTAAGTTGACACACTGTATAAGCTGACGTTTAAAATTTTATCAAAATTAGAAAATACTTTTTGTATGGTCTCTTTTTAAAAAAGTATAATGGATAAACTGCATAAGAGTAACTTTTACACCTTAATTCCAAATGATGTTTGTACCTAATGAAAAATTATTATTTAGTTTTTCATCGCATCGCTGACACTGTTTCTTAAAATTTAACGAGTGCAAAGTGGCAAAACTCACGAGAATTATTTTCTCAGAAAAACTGCCGTTTAATTTAGGTGGTCACCGTTTTAAAGACGCAGCGATAATGATGATAATTATATGGAGAACTAGTAGCACGCAACAACGTCGTCAGTGTGTTTCAAGAAAGCTTACTCTCACCAGTATGCACTTTTTTGCACAATTAAAAACTATCTTCTTTGTAAAAAACAAAGATCGTTAGTGTACTTCACTCAACTCTTCAACTGCTTTATTTAGCACAAAATGTACATCCGTGTTTGCTAAGAAATTTCAAAAGAAGAGCTTCATGCTTATTATCTGCCTTCCAAAGCTAATAAAACGGTTACAAAAATATAGCAAAAAAGTCACGCTTGAACTGTTCAAAATATTATGGTAATCATTTGAAAATGTTCTTCTCTTAAACGACATTGCCGATATAGTTCCAATTTGGCACAATGTTTATGTGCAGTCACGAGCAGGTTTGTAAAAAATAATTTTTAAAATCGGACATTCCACGGAGGAATAATCACCAGAAAATCATTTCTTGTCTGATTTCTCAAGAACGGTCAATCGAATTTTCGAATTTGGCGTTAAAATGATCAACTTGGGACTGTCTACAGTCCAAAAAAAAAAAAATAAGATCATAATTCGGACATACCACCGAGGAATAATCGGCAAAAATTATTTGATATTGGCAGGGAGCTCGCGGCATTAGCTAAGCGAGTGATCGATAGTACAATTCATTACGTGTCATAGTACATACTGTTCGCCCCAAGTAAGTATGCAGTTCCATAAAACATTGTAACGGTTCGAAAAATTGTGTTGAGACTTTATGAATTATTTAGACACAAGTAGTATTTTGTATCTTCCTTATGTCCTGTTGCATTTTTATTATACATATTACATAAATGCAGATAGCACTGTTTCAAACATTATTTACATATTGTTGATTAAGCACATATTTATTGCTAAACTTAAAACGTATATTGATTTTGACACGGTCCCGACTGGTTCTCTTCAAAGGCGCGATAATTTCTCATTTTCCATATAATTTATCTCCTTCAGTAATCGTGCCCAGTAAATAGCTAAAGCTCTATCAGTCACACATTTGCAGATTAACGCAGCCGATTTTCATTTTAACCAGTCGAAATATTAAGACAAAATATCGGAGACAACGCTAGAAACTGTCACGTGATTTTTGAATGATGAGGCAAACAGGAATCTGATAAATATATGTGCGACACGAAATTACAAAGTCAAATTCGAAACGAACTCGTCTGCCATAAAGTTACTGGTGTTTGTAGGTAGGTAATGCATGTAGTTGGCGGGTCGTTGTCAGGGGAACAAGCTTCGGACAACTGGCTAGTGCTTTCGACCTTTTTATTGGCAATGCATAAATCGGGTTTTTTAGCAATGACCCAAGAGGCGCCTCACCTCTTGAATAACAAATAAAAAAAATTGAAATTTCACTCTACAAAACCTATACATACCTACTTATTCAGCTTTGAAAAGCTTAGAATTTAATTACAAACTTTGGTAATAAAGTTTAGTTAAATTTAATTATTTTTGTCTACTTTAGTAAACGTATATTTCGTCAGGTCTATAATGGCCTGCTTGTTATGAATAGAAGTTAATAGAGAACGAGCATTCTGGAGGCTAATACAGGATGGTAAATACTAGTTTTACGGCTTAAAATATTATCAATAATACGATAACATAAAAAACAATATGCAATACTTTTTTTTCATTGTTCAATAAGTTGTAAAATAACTCCTAATTGAATTATAGAAACTGAGATTTAGTCTGGGAACTATTATTAATTTGCATTAAAATTTTTAATTTTCCACTTAGAATTTTTGAAATTGGACGAGTAGCTTCGGAGATTNTTCGTTCCGAAATATACTGGCCAGTGCTTTGACGTCAAATTGACGCCATATTGAGAATAGTGGTTGTGCTCGTTTACAACACTTTTGCTCCAAAAGTTATTAAAGTTTCTTACAACAAAAAATTCCTCAAAGTGAGATACACACACCTTAAAATATTATCAATAATACGATAACATAAAAAACAATATGCAATACTTTTTTTTCATTGTTCAATAAGTTGTAAAATAACTCCTAATTGAATTATAGAAACTGAGATTTAGTCTGGGAACTATTATTAATTTGCATTAAAATTTTTAATTTTCCACTTAGAATTTTTGAAATTGGACGAGTAGCTTCGGAGATTACGTCCTAATCCAAAGTCACAGATTTTATTTTTTTATAATAGTACAGATAAATAAGTTGATGTTTTTTCTTTTTCATTAAAATAAATGTATTATCGTGTATACACTCATACGCATCAGTCTTAAAAATTTAAAATTCTTCCCCACCTGCCATGATGGAGAAGTCTTGCCCAAATAGATAATAAATTCTTCGCAATTAATAAAAAATAACTTAAGAGTATCTGCCGTTATCACTTGGTGAAACATGATTCAAGATTAAAATTTATTAAAAACTCGATACGTATTTCGCCTTATAAGGGCATCTTCAGGAGTAACAAAAACTATATTAATTAAAAAACAGGAACTAAATTAATTTACAGTACATCCTACGAGAGTGGGGGTTGAACAATGTTTTTTTATTTTTCTTTTTTATATAAAAAAAGAAGAAAAAATAAAATAAAAATATCACCAACCAGCAACTAAATTTTGGCAATAATCCCCTATTGGACCAAACATTGTTCAACCCCCACTCTCTTAGGATGTACTATAATTAAAAATTATTATTAAAATTAAAATTATTAATTTAGTTACTGTTTGTTAATTAGTATAGTTTTTGTTACTCCTGAAGATGCCCATTTTTAATCCGCAATTATTGTCAAACAAACTCTAATTGTCACAAAAAAAAATGAGACTTACCTCTTCAGCAACCTCTTTTACTTCTCCGTTCTTTTCACTTTCTTTGTTTGGTTTCGGCTTGTCTTTCCTCGAAAACGAAATGCTCCTAAACGACCACTTTTTCTTTTTCGTCTTTTCTTTGTTCTTTCTACTGTTATCACCGTTTTCTTCCACTTTATCTGTTGACTCGTTAGACTTTTCTTCGGGGGTGGTCACTTCGTTGGTTTGTTCTACCGTATGATTAGTGGCGTCACCTGCTTCCGGTGCTGTTGCTTCTTCGGCCTCTGTCGCAATACCATTTTCACCGCCTGACAATTCTTTCGCTTCTTTCTGTTCAGATTCTTTGGCCGTTTCTTCTTTATCCTGAAATAATGGAAACTACCCTAAGTAAAGATGAAGTGGATACTAAGATTCGTTAGTAAAACTCACACCACAAAATAAAAATAAATTGTTGTAAAGACAGGATTAGACTGTCCCTTTTGATTGGCACCGACTCCAAAAATAACTGATTATAAATTAAAAATTTATATAAGTATGGATGATTTTGTTGATTGTTCTGTAATGTACTTTACTTTGAAGTAATTAAAATATTATTTTCTACTTTTTTTCAAGTTTGTATATGTAGGTATAGTCATGAAGTAGGTTTTTATTTTTTTCTAAAAATTAACTTTATTTTTTAACTTGAGTATATATTTTTTGGTTTTGTTGTTATTTTCAAACAGTATTGAATCAATTTTGATATAATTTAAACAGGACCACCTCTGAAGTATGATTTACCAAACAAAAAAAATCATCAAAATATATTTACAATTGGCGGAGTAATCGCAGAACAAACACATAAAAAATATATAAAACACGTCATGCGTCCCTATAAAATTTGAAGGTTTCTCTCAATTCTTCTGGGATCCCATCATTAGATCCTGACTTGGTGCCAATTGGACCAACTGGGCAGTATACCTTTTTAAACAAAAAAAATTCTGGAATCGGTCAGACGTCTTCGAGTAATCGGGCAACAAACATTAAAAAGAAGATTCCGACGAATTGAGAACCTCATTTTTTCGAAGTCGGTTAAAAACAGAAAACTTTTACTTTATTTATTTTTAAAATTATTCTTATGGAAGTGATGACAAATAAATTTTACATACATAGATTACTTTATGTGGTTTGTTTTGCCAGACTAAGCACACGTGCAAATACATAATTTCTCTAATTAAGTATACTACATTTGTTGCTTATAATTATATACATTCTTCTTAACAAGCTTCTAAATAACTTACAAATATAGGAAACCATAAATTGGCTAAATTGCTTTTTTGAGTTGCTAATGGGTACACACATACATATATTGACTGATTAATTTTTGATTCTGTGAATAACCAAAACATTAACTTTGTAACAACTACACTCATAGCAACAAAAATGTATTAATATTATGCTCCATATGTAAATATTTAAATCTTGTCAACAAAATGTAGACGTTGACCTCTTATAGGAAATAATCATAGTAGGATGCACAAAACGTCGATAAATGCACGTCAGAGTCGAACAAACAGAAGCTTCTAGAAATGCCTGAAGTAATTTCTATTATTATAAGGCCATTTTGACACAGTGCGGTAACAATACGATTTACTGCATGCAGTATAAGCTTACGGTAGAAAAAGACAACACAAACGAAGTACTTTACTGTCTGGCATTACGCAATGGTTATTAACAATAATAATATACGTAGAAGCGATACCTTCAAGAAAACTTAAGAAGTGGTACAGTAAAGCAACTCGAACATAACTGATTACATTTAGGAGGCGCAAGTTAGGAATGCTGACTGTAATTTCAATTAGCTACTCATATATTTGAGATACATATACCAGTATAACTTAATACTTTAGAGTGATTCGTGTCATCTTGGATAATTAGTTTGTTCTAATAGAACTTAATCTAATTAAACTGGTCTTTCTGATTAGTAAAGGATTTTTGGAAAACACCACATCTAAAGCTTAGATATATTTTAATTATTTTAAAGTAGAAACAGTAATCCTTTATAGGTTTAGGACAATTATTTTTCATTTGCTTTTTCAAAACTATGACCTTTATTGGTAAGACTCATATTAAAAGTTTATATGATTCTTATTCACTTGGGTGTGCTTCTTAAGAAGTTAGCACGTGACGAAATTTAAACGTTGAATTTTAATTTTACATTAATTAAGTAAAAGTAAATTTAAAGCACATTAAGTAACAGAAACAACTGATCAGACGATTTTAATATTACAACGCAGTAAATAACTTCATTGCTTCTTATTGATGACACCAATAAATAATCGTTCCATCACACAAAGTACCTTTTTTAAAGCCCACAGTGTTGGGTAACCCATTTAAGTTGGTCGCACGCCTTACCATTGTTTACAACAACTCAATCCAAAAGGACACGTGCCCCTGACCCTGAGACATCCTTAACAACTTCCGTCGTCACTACCACACGACCATAAATTCATCCACCCACTCAACCATCCATATAGGATCATCAACTTGGTCGCACTATATAATCAGTTGAAGAAGTGACCCTTACGACCTTCTACACGGACATCAACCCCATCCTCCCTGATTACAATAGAACGACGCCGCTTCATCATTGCCGCCGTCATTGTCCACTATTAATTACGATCACGACCACTCGTGCGTGAGATGAGACACAAACATACGCGCGAATCAACGTGCACGTAGTCAGACGTCGACCACCGTACGTGAACCTGTGTAAATATGCGTTTCTGTACGATAATTAGGAAGATGAAAATCAAAACGGAATTTCATTAATGCAGACTGTTCTTGGAAAAGAAGTGGTACAATTTTTACCTATTTTTCTATATTGGCACTGTAAACAAAATCCTCTTTTGCAGAGTAACAAACGATTTTATTCCTTGTAGACGTTGACGAATGCAGATCTTGTAAATTTAAAAGCAATTCTTTTTTGTTTACTTGCTCGCGAACGGTTAATTTAGAAATTCGAAAAAGGTTGTTAAAGGTGTATCTTTGGAGCGCGGCGTTGTACAGGTGAGAAACATGGACAGTGGGTGCGGCGGAAAAGAAAAGGTTAGAAGCTTTCGAATGATGAGGATAACGTGGGTAGAAAAGGTTAGAAATGAAGAGGTATTAGAAAGAATAGAAGAACGGACGACTCTATGGAAGTCAATAAAAAATAGGCGAGATAGGTTGGTAGGACACCTTCTCAGGCATGAAGGTCTGATCAGAGACATATAAGAGGCAGAAACGGGAGTTAGGAGGGGGAGAGAGACAGACCTAGGTTAGATTACTGTTCGCAAATGATTAAGGATGTGGGATGTTCTAGTTTTAGGGAAATCCGAAGATTAGCTCAGGATAGGAAAGAGTGGAGGTATGTGTCCAACCAGCCTTAGGACTGACGATCTTAAGATGATGATGATGCCTAGATTACCTCACACTTGAAAATGAATGGCTATCTGTTTTTAATTTAAGAAACAACTATGGTGATTTAAAATAGGGCATCACTTTTTCAAATTTTTTAACACTAATTGTATAAAGTGAACATTTTTGACAGTTTTAAATGACGGGCCAAGCTTTCACGCCTTTAACTCTATAGGTAGATACATCTTTCCTTATCTCAGAAGGTGTTTCGTCATCCTTTTGACCTCCATCTTATAGTTCTTTTCGTTCTTCTACCCTTTCTAATAACCTTCTCATTTCTGACTTCTTTTCACGGTTCTTTTCCGCCGCGCAAACTATCCACGCTTCGAATTCGTACAGAGACACACTCCAAACTTACACTTTTAATAATCTTTTTCGAATATCTAAATTGATCGTTTACACGCATAGAAGTGTTTTTTGTTAAAATTCATTGCTTTATGTCATCATCCGACTTCTTCATCCTGAGTTATTCCTACATATCGAAAATCGATGACTTCCAGTTACGCCACATTTGAACTGTGAATACTAAGTAGTGTGTGATCGAAGCAGTTGGGCGATAGTGAAGAGAGAGAAAAACTAATCCAATGAGACACTTCTTGATTCAGCTTATTATTGTATTTTGATTGTAACATTAAATTTTTAATTCTGTTATTCTTATAACTTACACAATGAAATCTCCCTAGACCATTTGAATTTCGTCATATATAAAGAGTTTATATCGCATTTGCAAGGAATGTTATTGTTGGGAATTTTAAGACAGGCACATTATTATGTAGGTCAGGTATCTAAGAAAAACACCCGATGATAATCTCGACCAACAAATTGCTTACAAGAAGAAAAAATAGAAGTGGCACTCAGCTGAATAATAATTGTCATTCAGACGTAGCAATGACATGAGTAAACCAGCCATATGGTACATTAATTTGAAATAGAACACAAAATATAAATTAAAAATACATAATATCAAAGTAGGTTCAGACTTAATTAAGTTTTAATACTAGTTACAGTTTAATTTTGTCCCCTGAGGCAAAAGGCAAAATGAAATATAAATTTAATGTCATTACCGCAAAATCAATTCTAAACATAGAATTGCTTATCATAAGGTAGTACGAAGACTGGTTCGGCACGCACCTTTACTCCTTCCCATCATGAAATAATCTTCGCATTTCCCTTAAACTAGAACATCCCACATTCTTAACTATTTGCGAACAGTAATTTAATATAGGTCTACGTCTTCTTCTCTTAACTCTTGTTTCCGCCTCTAATACGTTTCTGACTAGACGTTCATGCCTGAAAAGGTGTCCTACCAACATATCTCGCCTATTTTTGTAGAATTTCATAGAGTCCTCTGTTCTCCTATTCTTTCTAATACCTTTATCATTTCTAACCTTGTCTATCCACGGTATCCTTCCTCATCGCCTATAACACCACATTTCGAACGCTTTCAACCTTTTCTTTTTTAGTTATGCTGTTATATAGTACCTATATCGAATCGTTTATCATCAAACATGTACTGTTTGTGTTCAATATTTTAAAATATTGCAATAATGTTTCTTCTGAACGCTAGTCAAAAATTTTTAACTTAATTCCACGATTTTTTTTGCACTTCATGTTTTGATGTACACATAGTAGATCGTTTGTTTTGACAAGCGCTAAACTACTATTTCGGTTTGTTTTCAGAAGGCTTTGGGCGGCCTGCAGTGAATCGAAAAAAGCTGTTTTAAAGAAGAATTTCGATTCGCTCTGGTAAAGCTTCTCAATATTATTTACGCTGGTTCTTGTCTATTTGCAATCAACGGAGAATAACCAAAACAAAATTTAAAATTTTATTGGTACGTTTAACCAAGGGATAGCAGAAATGCTGAATACAGAAACGGAAAAATATTTACACAAACGTAGTTAACTACGCAATTCTTGAAACATAGGGA